TGGCGAGGGTTCACTGTATAACATAATTTAAGAGTTAGATAAAAATCCCAAATCTAACAGTCTCTTTCCCATGCCAATAAAAATTACTTCTAAGCTTAATCAGCATGGATATTCCAACTTGTGAAGGAGGCTAACAAGGTAAGGCAAACAGCCAGACATTAAACATCCCCCAATTCAGATACATAAGGGTATATGAAGCCTCATGTGACATTGATCTAATGGCCCCCGAGAAATGTTGGTATAATTTCCTAATGATCCATTGTAGAAGCTGCCTCTGAGAGTATCAATTAGATCTTGTGACACTGTAAAAAAGCTGCTAATCTCCTTTAATCAATGTAAAAAAAGCCCCAGTTTCGTGTATATTAACTTGTGGGGTCAGAACTGAACTCTGAAACAGCTCAGTGGAGAAACCTGCTGTGTTCCTTCTGCAGGTGCTTGCAAGAATAATCTTGCCTCTTGCAGTCTGGCAACAAAAGCACAGATCAGGGCTGAGTAATGAAAGCTTATGTAGGACTTTGACAGAGTACTGCGAACTAACTGAAAATCTTCACAAAGAACAATCTTACTAGCCACTCTCAATATCCATAAATTGAAGAGTTAGTCTAAAATGTGAAGGAGACACTGAACTGTCAATTTATTACTCTTAAAGAAAAAAAAATACCGTGGTTGGGGAAAGACTGGCTTCTCCTATTCCAATATTTCCTTCTCTATTAAAAAGTTATTTCAAAATTTCTTTCAAAGTTCATAATGCCTAGTTTTTAATGTCATAAATATTTCTCACATACTGGTACTTAATGAATGACTCTAATTTTCATAATTTATAATCTTCTACTGATACAAAAATCTGGACAGTTAGTACATCAAGTTATAGTTAAGTCCTCAGTGAATACGTGTATCCTGTTCTTCTACATGTAATGAAATGATTTGATAGGTATTGTTATCTAAAAGTAACCAAAACCACACAAGGATCCTAATCCAAGGAGTTTATATTGCACAGAGTCGTGTATAAGCCGAGTTTTTCAGCGCATCTGTAATGCAGTTTTTGAGGTAAAATTAGGTGCATTGGCTTATACGCGAGTATATATGGTAATCTAGAGCAGAGGTTTCCAAATTTATTTGGCTTACTGTCCCCTTTTCAGGAAATAGATGAAACATGTATGAACTATTTATGCTTCCACTTTCCCTTTATTTTTATTCACCCCCACTCCCGTGGATCTATCTAGTGAACCCCCAGAGGTGGTATTGCCTGCTGGTCTAGAGAATAGGTTCCCAGAAACTATTTGGTCTACAGATGTTTTTCAGGGGAAAAAAATTTACTTAGTACACTTCTGGCAATTGAAAACTTTTGTACTATAACCCATAATCCAGGATAAACTGCCTGTATCTGCTTTTGCAGCCTCCATTGATTGTTCTAGCATCTCATGGTCGTTACAAACCACTTGGAGAAACACTTGTCTAGAGGAAACTATAACTAAAAAATCCATATAAAAATAGTTTGAAATACAGACACGAGTTGCAAAAGACAAAATGTATAAATAAACCCATTGCCATTGAATGGATTCTGACTCAAAAGAGACCCTGTAAGACTACAGAGGAGATGACTAGCGTTTCCAAGACTGAAATCTTTAGTTCCTGGAAAAGGACACCATTCTTGGCAGAGGATTAGTGGAAAAGCAGATAGACTGACACAGTGGTTGCATCAATGGGCCAAACCTAACAATGGTTGTAAAGATGGTGTTGGACGTGGCAGTGTTCTGTTCTGGTATACATAAAACCACTATGGATCAGGACAGACTCAACGGCACCCAACAACAGTCAGTACAGAAGCACACTGTCATATCTTTCTCCCCCGGAGCACTGGGTGGATTTGAACTGCCTATTGGTTATCAACCAAGCATGTGAACATTGCTCCACCAAGGTCCCTTTAAAAATCCTTCCATTTTTTATAACAAAGTTTTTGAAGCCCCGTTGAATTTACTTATTTCATGTAAGTGAGATCATATAATATTTCTTTTACAACAGACTTATTTCATTCAAGCATGATGTCCTTTCCAGGGATTTGACCCTCTTGATAATATGTTCAAAGTATGTGAGACAAAGCCTCGTCATCCTCGTCTTTAAAAATAGATAAATATATAGGTAAAGGGAACCTACTAAAACGTAAATACTTTTGTTCTTTACAAGGAATTTATCAACAAAGTGAAGAGACAACCTACTGATTGGGATATATTTTCAAGAACCATTTATCTAAATAAGGCCCTAATATAAAAAGTTTTAAAACTTCTACAATTAAACCACAAGAATATAAACAACCCAATAAAAAACAGGCAGAAGACTTAAATTTCACTATAGAAGATAATCAAATGGCCAACAGAGAATAGGTACCCAACATCATTCCTGCTGCTGTTGAGTAAACTCCAACTCAAAGCAATCCTATAAAGCAGAATGGAACTGTCCTACAGCGCTTCCAAAGCCGTACGCTTTACAGAAACAGCTTGCTACATCTTTCTCCGAAAGACCATCAACTTTTGTGTTAGCAGGTACAAGCTTAACCACTAAGTCAACAGGGCTCCTTTAACAAAGGTAAGTGCCAATGAATCAATTCTAAACCCTGGAAACCCAAGACAGTACACAGTAGAACCGCTCCATAGAATTTTTTTGGTTGTAATCTTTACAGACTTAAGCCACCAGACCTTTCTTCCCCGAAACCCTTAGGTAGGGTTCCAATAGCCAGCCTTTAGGTTTGTCAGCCCAAAGCAAATGACTTACGTCACTCAAGAAGCAGGGGACATTAGCCAGTAGGGAAACACAAATCAAAACTATCATGAAATAACACATCACTCCTATTAGAATGGCAATGATAAAAATGACAACTACAAAAACCCCAAAAGATATGAGTGATGGTGAGGCTGGACAGAAACTGGAACACACATTCACTTGCTGGTCAGAAAGTAAAATGGTATCGTCTCAGAGGAAAAAGTCTGGCAGGTACTCAAAAATTACCATTATACCAGCGTTCATTGCAGCACTTTTCATAATAGCCAAAACGTAGAAACAACTAAAATGTTCCGCTAGAAACAAAAGATGAATGGATAAACAATATATGGTACATATATGTAGTGAATGACTACTCCACCATACAGAAAAGTCAAGTCCTGACGCATGCCATATCATGGATGAATCCTCAAAGCATCATGCTGAGTAAAGCCAGTCAATTGCAAAAGAACAAAGTTAATACAAGGTGGCTTCAAAAAGCTTGTTAAAAAATGGAATTAAAAGAGAACGTAACGTTTCCATGAACCCTTGGAAGCTACTCTGTATAATAAAAGCTGAGAACCTTGTCAGAGAAGGAAAACGCAAATTGCTTTCATTAAACTAAGCAACAGAAAAGTGTGAGACCTGGAAAACATGGCAGCCCCACTGAGATCTAGCTCTTGTAGGGTTTACTGAATATTGGACCCAAGATTGCTAGTGAACCAGGGGTAGGAGGAAGAGAAAAAGAGCGGTTTCTTCTTTAGGGGCACTGAGTTCATGTTCATGGGTTTTGAAATTATTTGGAAAAAGAGAGAAAAGTTCCTTAAGTTGAAGAATAGTACATTTAAAAATTATTGAGATGGAGTACGTTTATTATGTATATTTCCATCACAATAAAATTAAAATAAGATGCAAGACAGTAACTAAAGACTAGAAAGAATAGATAGATGGATTCAGAGATATAAGGCTATACCTACTGAGATAAACACAGCTATATAGCAGTAAATTTGAACTAGCTACAAGAGACAAAAAAAAAAATCATGAGACAAGAGGTCTAAATGATAAATCTAAATCAGTCAGAGAAGTGAAGGGTATGATGGTTGATGGGAGGGCGGGCCTTTCCAGGCCAAATGGAGAACAATAAACGATGGACTCTGCTGGGTGTGGGGGCAGTGTGGGACGTTCAAGAAAAAGGGAGTAAAAAGTGACTTGGGCACAGAGGAAAAGAATGGCAGGAGGCTAGGAAGAGACTGGGTAAAGGGTAGAGGGGTGTCTTTGCATTCTTTCTTAGAACAGAATGCCAATTTATAATTATCTCAAAATTAGAAGTAAAACAACAAGATAGAAGGGACAAACTGGGCAGAATTAAAGGGCACTGATCTCTCCAGAGCAATACAAAATCATTCAAAGATGTTTTAAAGGAGAAGAGGTACATTCTGATAAGCATTTTGAAATAATGAAAGGCTGTAATTATAGACTGAAAATAAGCAATCATAGTAGTTGTAAGAAACCTATTACTAGACATCTCATGGTGGTTTGGTTTAGGGTAGTAGTAGTAAAGGTATCAAGTTATAAATTAAAGCTAATAAAATTGTGTATTTCACTCTAATTCTAAATGCAACTGTTAAACAGAATTAAAAAATTAAATCATTTCAAGATAAAAGAAATATGGTTTTCTTAACTTTATCCCTTCAAACCTATCTTATAAGTTAGTTCCCTTTATCCTTTCAAGGCTATTTTATAAGTTAAAATATTTTTATGAAATGATAGATTTAAACTGTGAATCAAGAAAACGAAATAACCAACATTCAATGTTTTAACACACTATTAACATGTTTTTATGATTATAAGAGGATATACTAGTAAACACAAGAATATTATCAAATGTTCTCAACTTACCATTTTTCCAATCATCATTACATAAGGTCCTGCCTGTTGATTTACAGCTAGAAAATCTAGCAAACGCACATACCAAAATATTATGTTAAGACAGTAAATTAATCTTCCAGCCACAAAAACATGATTCTTATACGCATCCTCATAGTTCCATTTTGCTCCAAGTCTTAATCCAAATCCAATGAAGAAAGAAATTATGGCAATTGTATCACTGATATTGAAGTAGTCACTAAACCACACTTTAATCTTCTGGCTTATTTTCCCAGCTTCAGACATAAAGATCTAGAGGTTAGAAAAAAGACCTTATCAATTTTTTTGTTTGTTTTTTTAATCGTTTTATACAACTCTTATCACAATCCATACATACATCAATTGTGTAAAGCACATTTGTATATCATTCTCAAAACTTTTGCTTTCTACCTATGCCCCTGGCATCAGTTCCTCAATTTTTCCCTCCCTCTTATCAATTCCTTTTTATTAAAATAAACACAGCATTCACTTAAAATAGTACAGCAGAATTCTATACATCTTTAAGTGTTTCAAAAATGCTTTTGATTACTCTGATATTTGGTAATGTATTTGATTATGAAAATCCAAAGAGCTAGCAAGCGCAGGTATGTCTATCCTCAACTGATAAATGAAAAAAAACCCCACAAAACAAACCCCCAGAAACTTATGACCTTTTCAAACCAGGTCATGCAACACTAAGAAAAGACTTAGAATGTGAAATGCTGGTAAAAAAGTTGTTTTATTTTGTTGCTTTGTTTGGCTATGTCTTGTTTTATGTGCATATTATTATCTCTGCGGGTCTATTTAGATAAGATAGGCGGGATAAACAATCTGGAGGAGAAAACAGGACTGACAGTTCCAGGGGGACAAGAAAGAGGGGGAGGCGGGGGAAAGGAAGTGGGTGTTAACAAACCCAGGGACAAGGGAGAAACACGTGACCCAAAATCAGTGGCGAGGAGGGTGAAGGAGGCCTGCAAGGGTTTGATCAAGGGCAATGTAACCCAGAGGAATTACTGAAACCCAAATGAAGTCTGAGCATGATAGTGGGAAAAGAGGAAAGTCAAAGGAAATAGAGGAAAGAAAGAGGAGGCAAAGGGCATTTATAGAGGTCTAAATACAGGCATGTACACATATAATTATATTTATATTATTGATGGTGGGGAAATAGATATATGTGCATATATTTATAGGTTTAGTATTACGGTAGCAGATGGACTTTGAGCCTCCACTCAAGTACTCCCTCAATGCATGAACGCTCTGGTCTATTAAACTGGCAATTCATGATGCTCACCTACCCAACAAGATCTCTGAAGACAAAAGGGTGCATAAGCAAATGTGGTGAAGAAAGCTGATGGTGCCTGGCTATCAAAAGATATAGCATCTGGGGTCTTAAAGGCTTGAAGGTAAACAAGCGGCCATCTAGCTCAGAAGCAACAAAGCCCACATGGAAGAAGCACACCAGCCTGTGTGATCATGATGTGTTGAAGGGATCAGGTACCAGGAATAAAAGAACAAAAAATGGGAGTGCAGAGGGGGCACACAAAGCCCATCTGTAGGCAACTGGACATTCCGTTACAGAAGGGTCGTGGAGAGGAGATGAGCCAGTCAGGGCGCAGTGTAGCACCGACGAAACATACTGCTTCATGAATCTTTGCAGAATTATTTACTACTATGTTTAAGTGCTGTGCAACCTCTTTTATCATTGAATAAGCTTTTTAAAAACTTTTATTAAATAATAAACAACAGAGTTCATAAGCAAACGGATCACTGGCCTCAGAAATTTAAAATGCTTAGTAAATTTGAACTAGCTACAAGAGACAAAAAAGAAAAGTTCCTTAAAAAGTCATGTAGAAACTGATTCCCAAAGGATAAACCTAAGTTAGTCAGAAAAGCAAAGGCTACCACAGTAGAGAAGAGGGCCTTTTCTTCCAGGCCAAACAAGCAATAAAGGTATTCTGCTGAGTGTGGGTGAAGTATGGTATGCTAAAGAAAAAGGGAGGCAGTTAATATGGCAAATTCCTAATACCTAAGAGGGACGAAAATTACTGAATTATTCTTGAAATTTCATGGATGTGTTAAATGTAAGCAGAGATATGAAATATGTTATAAAAAAACAATTTAAGAAGCTCCTAGTGTAAGAAGAAATAAATTCATTTCCCCCCCTCCAAAACAATACTTTTAGGAAATTTAGAACTAAAATTGAATACTGATAGACACATAGGAAATCTAAATATACATATATTTTTTAATGGTTAGGAATTTAATTAACAAAACCACTAGAAATGTACTGACAGAGAGCCTGATCCTGTGTACGTCATTTCACATGTATCAAATCATCTCTAAAAATTACACTCCCACTGGAAGTAGATGATGGGAAAACTGAAGAACTTTTAAAATTTGAATTGGTGGAGGTCAAAAGAAATCTAAATCTTAAAGACATTTTAGTATCCAAAGAATACAAAAGAAAACAAAAAACAGAATGCAAAAGAAAATTTAAGCCTATGTACAATGACCTTACCTAATTGTCTATATGTGTATTTAATATCTTTTGAAGATTGGCAGAAAGCATGAAAATGAATGTTGAAGATTAAAATAAATCTGGGTTTCTTTTATGAGATAGATCACTACCTTTGTTATGGCTGACAGTCAAAGTTAATGGCATACTTACAGGTCTCTATTCTTTCAGAAGAGCTAAAAAGAAACATCTTACATAGTTCTATAATGTCATGACTTAATGACATTATGAATAACATACCCACAAATACAGAAAAAGCAACCAATATATCACTCAGTACATACTATAAGTTATAGGTAGAAAAAGATTAGACATACCTCACGGACTTTTTCAATAGCATAGGTAAAAATGTAAGCAATAACAATCCATTCTTGAACTGAAGGTAATCTTTCCATTTGTACAAGAACCACAAATGTATAAAGCATCAGAAACCCTAAATATGCCAACTAATAAAAAAGAAAAGTCAACATAAGTGTTACAACATAAAATAGCATTAAAGTTTACACAAGATAAAAAACTAAATGAACCACTAAGACCTTTCCCTAAGTTTCAATAATTGTTTTAGAAATAGATAGTAAAAAGTGCATTTATCAAAGTATAAATGGCCCCATTTCGTAATTATAAACATCAGATTTATGTTCTCTGAATAATCCATCAAATTCTATTTGTTTTATTATTTCTAAAGTATCATAATGTACTAAAACTACCAAAGAATTTCACTACCATAAACATTAAGAACATATAGTACCCGTCCGTCTCTTCTCTCTGCCTACTAAAGTCTTACTAAAACAGACAACTATCATTTCCCTAGTTCTCATGCACCGAAGATCAGGCCCAAGAAAGGAAAACAGAAGTTAAGCAATTTGTCCTCCTTTACTGATACTTTCAGCAACAATGAGAAAAGGAAAGATGTATTATAACATCTGAATACTAATTCATTTCAAAGAAAAACCCAAACTCAATGACACTTGAACTGTTGTGGTTAATCGCTCTGCCTTTTCCTCCTTTCCTTTCTGCCTGCCCTAGAAGAAGCCCTATCTTTGATTTAAGCTATGGCACGGTAGGGAAGTAAGCTACAACAGATGTAAAATGAAAAGAAAAAGTCCTGTGGCCACCTGAGTCCGCCTCTTTGATGTAGACATTCACATGAATGCAAATATAAGAAACCTACATTACTGCCATTGGATTAGGGATTAGATCAGATAATTCAAATTTAAAATTTTAGCATCTAGGGAGGGAGTAATAGAAGAATTACATTGGTAAGAAATCTAATAAATCAGTAATCAGATTAATGGGGTAGTATATGGACGAGGAGAATGCAATGGTTGAAGAATCAAGTCTTCAAATGTCCATTTTATCAGAAAGCCATTTGGATACTTTGACAATTCAGAAATGTCTAATAACAATGAAAAACAAAACAAAAATGCTAACAAAAATAAAAAACTCTTATGAGTTTTCCTAGGAGGGAAAGTATTCCCTGCTTTAAAGGTAGTAGCTAATATCATGTGCTTCTTCAGGTGGGTACTTCTCGCTATAGGCATATGCTCTTTGATGGACAAGTAAAATCTGTTCTATAAAGAGGAAAACCAACTATATGGCAGACAATCAAGCATGTATTCTACTATGTCAGAAGGACTAGCTATTCCATCGCGAGCAATGAAATGGAAACCAATGGGTGACTTGGATATGTTTTCACTATCACCAGTCATACCAGCCAACACCCGAATGGCCCCAGTTTAGTCTCTACTGGAATTAAGCTTTGTTAATATTTATCATTCTACAGGTTGGCAAATGGAATGAAATAAGCCAAATATACTGCCACATAAATGGAAAATTGCTTTTCAGAGATCCAAGTTATATCAATATTAGTATGAATTCTAACCCAAAGATACCCTAAAGCTTATCTATAATGCATACTCACACAATTTAAAAACTTACAGTGTTAAACCAGAATTTCACAATCGGTGCATGATAAAAAGCATAGAACTTTCTTGTGATTGGAAGCTTTTTTGATTTTATTTGTATCTCAATTTCATTCTTTGCTTCATTACTATCCAAAATTTTTATTTCTTTAAATACTTCCTAAAATAAGAATAAGAATATTATACATTTATTCACAAACAAACATATTTACATAAAACATTTTTCCGCCTTACCATGGGGATCTCTTCTGTTATATTTTGAAAGTTGTTCTCACTATCTTCCATTGTCATCTGATGGGCATCTTGAGATTGTGGAATATGAGACATTTCGGCCTTGGTTTTATATTCCAGCATTAATATAGCAGGTGGAACTAAAATGCTTAATATGACCTAAACATTTAGAAACATAAAAGTTTATATTTTACAATTAATGACCTTCAAGATAATAAAAGCAATAAAGACAGAAACTATTCTGTGATCACTAGACCTGACATTACAATGAGATCATTGTACCTAAAAGGGGAAAAAAACCCTGAAAAATATGTTTGCTACTTATAAAATGCTAAAGAGGCCCAGGTTGAATTGTTTCAAGGTGTAATAAAACATTGAAATATTATGAAAATAAAAAGTACAGAAAAGATTTAATAACTCTAGATATGCCTTTTAAGATAACCCACCCATTTAGACTTTGTTCAGAAAACATATTTTTAAAAAATGTACACCTTATGAAAATGCTATGTGATTAATCTTATCCTAAATCTCCTTTGCAAATGTTCCATGTCATAACACGATTACTCTGCTTGGGACTCTCTAAACTACAAGATTTACTTTTAAAAAATTTAGGAATTACCTGCAAAATTCAAAAACAAAAGAATTATAATTGTGGTGTAGGGTTTCTGTTGGTTAATCTTTCACCAGCATTTTTAATTGATGATTAGAATTTGTTAATCACCTACAAAGTCTTATGGTTAAAAACTACTTGCCTGATTTCTGCCTTCTATACTTCTGGACCTTATTTAAAAAGATATGATGAAAAGGAAAATTTAAAGCAGTATCTCTTAACTATGATGAAATTGAAAGTACAAACCATCATTTCGCCCTCAAAGTTCACCGTTAGCCTAAAGTTATCCATCTTAACCATAAACGTCATTATAGCTAATGTACTTCAAATAACTTAATAGTAACTGATTATTATGGAACACCGACAGGTCTTAAAACAGACTTTGGGACACTTTCATAAAATGGAAACTCTTTACAAGGCTGTTAGGTCCAACAGCCCCATTTGCTGCCTTCACACTTGTGGCGCAGACAGAGACAATAATCACTACCTATGTATCTGAAAAGGACTCAGGAGAAAAAGAGTCCAACTATCAAGTGAAAGAAAATGCCAACCACCACTCCATCACCCTCATCATCAAGTATTTTACTTTACATATGGGTTAATTCTTCTGTTCATTTTATATACTCACATACTTTATACAAAATTATTTCTAAGGTATACCTTATACCATGAATTTTTCCTCATATTCAGTCTTCCCATCCACATATCAGACAATAACATTTGTGTACAGGTGTGGGCTACAAAAAGTCTAAGTCTTGAAGAAACTGCTAGCTTAAGGCATGTTGAATTACTCCAGTTCTTCAGTTCATAAGTGAGCAACTTCATAGCCATGGTTTCATCCTGTCGAAAGGATTGTTCTAATAATTCAACTGCCAACTGACCAAAGTCACTATGAAAAAAAGCCAGAATACATTCAGATTACCAAACTGTAACTTTAAAACCATTATCTTAAATTAATCAATTAATAACACTTCCTAGTTTTAATATTTTCATATAAATTAAGGAACTTTGAGGCATTAGACTAGTAGCAGCTCTGTTGTAGACATCTCTATCTATGTTGAAAACACAATACTGAAATATAAGAATAGGCATGAAAAGATGAATTCAGGCTCCTTTCACCTGATTCTGGAAAATGCAGTCTATAGCTCAACAGGGAACCAAAATTGAGACAGTGCATAGTACTTTTCCATCATGTATCAGACACAGACTAGTTAAAAAAACAAACGAATGGGGACCGAGACTTATCTAATGAAAACAAAAAGCCAGAAATTGTTGTGTGAGTGCATAAGCACCACAATAAATCATTAATCCTTCTAGTCAGGTTGTTAGATGCCAGCGAATTGGTTGTGACCCACAACCACTCTAGGTGCAGCAGAACTGCCTGGTCCTGCGCCAGGCTCACAATTGTTTACATGTTTGAGCCCTCTTTTGGAGCAACTATGTCAATCTCTCTTTTCCCACTGACTCTCTACTTTACCAAGCATGATGTTCTTTCTTGGGACTGGTTTCTCCTGATAACGTATCCAAAGTTCCTGAGATGAAGTTTCCCATCCTCGCTTCTAAGGAGCATCCTGGCTGTACTTCTTCAAAGACAGATTTGTTCCTTCTTCTGGCAGTTCATACACAATATTTTGCACCAACACCATAATTCAAATGTATTAATTCTAATTATCGATAACTTCTAATATATAACTTCTAACCGTACTTGGTAATATTTCTCACATTTATAAATTGGCTTTCTTTTTTTCCATTTTTTTTTTCTATTCTGAGGCTGAGTCAGTGAGGCAGTGAGAGAGTGAGTGAGTGAGGCAGTGAATGAGTGAGACAGTGAGTCACTGAGTGAGGCAGTGAGTGAGTGAGGCTGAGTCAGTGAGTGAGACAGTGAGAAAGTGAGTGAGTGAGGGAGTGAGAGTGAGGCAGTGAGAGGGTTAAATTGGCTTTATTGATGTAAACTCTCCTTATGTTGTGATTTACTTTTTTCTTTTTTTTTGGTTTCAGAATTCACACAACGGTTAAAGTGCTTAACTCCCCAAAAAAGCAGTCGTTTGAATTCTCCACTCACTTTGAGAGAGGACAGGCTTCTACAAATACCTATAGCCTTAGAAGCCCTATGAGGCAGTTCTATTCTGTCCCACTTGTTTGGTATGAGATGTAGCCAACAATTGTGGGAAACAGAAAGATTCCTCCCAAGTTCTCTCCCCCAAATATGTTAGACTTAGGACACTGCTTGCAGCTAATAATTGTCAAGTTACTTCCCTGAAGGCAGTCAGCTGCCAGACTACTGTCTAGTCCCACCATGGGTAGGCCTGCTCCCTGCTGCTAAGGACAATGGGCTACTTCTCAGGGAACAGGTCCAGGGAACAGGTCAAACCAGCTCAGTAACATCCAAAGTTAGGCTGCCATCCTAAATCTAGGATCCGCCCATCTTGCCACATTTATACCTCCAACCCCTCCTCTTCCTATTGCGCCCATACCCCTAGAGCACCCCCCCTCCCATGACTGTATTACCTGTAGCACAACCCTTTCCTGTGACGTATGTCTTCACCTGTAATTAAGGGGCTTGCATGTCCCCCCAAAATATAAAAGCCTTGGTTAGCATTAAATATCTCTCTCTCCACGTGGACCACTGAGCAGGCTAAGGTGAGCATGCTACCATGAAATGTGTCTAACGCCATTATTTCAATCTCTCCTCTATCTCTCTTGCTCTCTATGACTTTGCTATAATCGTTACTTAATATTGTTGTATAATTGCGCCTACCGGACCCATGATGATGTGTTAGGGGCAGGAATACCCTAACAAATCATGGGTTTTGTTTTGAAATATTCTTTTTAGTCTTCTCTTTATAGATATATTAATTCCTTTAAGTGCATGACACTATATTGACCACTAAAACATGTACTCTTATATAAAAGTATTTTCAAATATTAAAATATAACTTACTTGGAATACTGTTTTAATTCTTCTGAAGTATCATCTACTAGGTCACTCTGCTTTGCTTCATATGCCATTGAACGGTATATTTTGCAGGCAACTAATGCTTTAGCCATTGACTCTTCACCATGTTGCCATAAAAATCGGGCCATAGCCTGTCTCTTCATAAGGCAAGCCCAAATTAACAGTTCATTAAGTGGATATGGGAAACGCTTGGTTTCAGGATCATCAATATCTACAATGTCATCTTTGGTTCTTTTCTTTTTTCCTTCGTCTACTGCTGTATCAATCTTCAAGGGAATAAACATCAGAGTTTATTACTAAGGTCATTTAACATTCATGGTATTGAAAAAAATTTCTTTAATTTTAAATAAAAGACCTTTTATAATTATTCTTCTACTTAATACTATACAAAATAAAGAAGCACACATTTTATTTACTTGATTTTTTAAAAACTAGAGCTTATATAATTGGCATTTCAACAAGTGATTTTGTAAGTTTTCAAAGATTAATCATATAAAAAGAGCATTTAAGAAAGGAGCTGGCAAAATATCTGTAGGATTTAGCTGTAATCATGGCTAAACATGAAAACTGTAATAGCATTAACTCACAATGCTTATCTTCCAGTATATGAGAAAATGAAGATTCAAAATATATTACGTCCAAAACAAAGAGAATTTAATTCTTACTAAAATAAACAGGTTTTTTTGTTTGCTTCATAATATTAAGTATAAAAAGACAGAATCTAAAACCCAGAAAGGGTAATATTTAAATAAATATACCTTTGGTCGGTAGGGCTGCGCTGTTTTAATGAAATGATTATGTCTCATTTTTTCCTTTTTATCTGCCCTATTGCCAAAAGATTCATGACTTTTTCGCAATTGAGGAGTGCTGCTGGAAGTATTTCGGCCAGATCTCTGAAAATGAGAGCTTATTAACCATTATAGATTTTAAATGCTGACATGTTATAAAATTAGGAATCAATTTATTTCTGTACCTGCACATATGCATGTACACACAGAAACATATAACATATGGTGATAGCTTTAAGCTTTCAGTTTCAAAGTACTATTTCCAATTACTCTTGGTTGAAAATGTTATTTTAAAGACAATATAACTATCTTACAAGTAACTATTAAATCTTACAGTAGTAATTTTAGGGACATATACATACACACACACAGAAAGAGCACCCAAAATTTTGACATACCCGATTATTTCCACCAAGACTGTTATAGATCAGTCGAAAACGTTTCCGAGTGTAGGTGCATCTATAGGTCCCTCCCATAAGATATTCAATAACAAGTCCTATATCAATTAGAGTGATCTTGTATCCTGGAGGAAGATTTCCCTGGAATCAAAACATTGCTTTTTAAATAGTCGTATTTCTCAGTATTTCTATGCCATGCCTAGGAATGCGCACACCTCTCAAACAGAGTTGCCAGCAACTATCTTTACTGGTGACACAAGTCATTTATTTCTCTATTTACTTTTCTATGAAGAAAGTATTCTGAAGTGTTGAGGTCTCAAAGGTGTGGCTCAGAGTTGGCATATGGTCACAGAAGAAAGTATAGATAGTAAGGTCTCTCCACTGACCTAACACTTCACATAGAGGCACTGGAGTCTCTAAGAGCGAGTATTACTGACAGTGTGATACATATATGCCAAATCACATCTTTCTGCAAAAAAAACCCACTATAAATCCCAGACTGGTCCATAAGTACCTATAAGTACCTTTTAAAGCCAAACATTTATGTTTGTTATATTATACGTTATACACGTTTTTATATCCTATTCTGGGACTTAAATATCACGTGTAGGTAACATTATTAAGTCTTATTTTCCCAGAGTAGCAATCAAATAACTTTCACAATACAAACTATTTATGAGTATAAAAAGACTGCCTGCTTCAGACACAAATAATCTTAAAGGGGCTTTACCACCTAAGTTAAAATACAGAAAAAGATCTTTACTTTCCATTTCCCTGATAGCAGTTTTAAGAACTTAGTGCTTTTGAAAAAGTTTATTGTTTATTCAGTTAATATTTTTATTTCAAATGCACAACGTCTTTTCTTTTCTTCTAATGCTTAGATGTCAATATATTTTTAATTTTCCATTTAAAAAGTATTAAAATATATCTTGCATTCATCTTTAATATAAAATCTTTGTTTTCACCATACTGAAGACCCTCAAAATATGCTTTAAGATTAAGAATATCACGTATTCACTTCAATTTCATCTTCCAAGAATTACTGAAAATTACCATTATATATGAGTTGAGTCCACTTTAATTTTTATTGAGATAAACCATATGTAACATTTCAACCACTAATGTAAGTATAATTCAATGACAGAATTACATTTACTATGCTGTACAATAATCACTACATTTCCAATTATTTTCAGCATCCTTAACAAAAACTCTGTACCCGTTAAGTGAAAAATATTTATTACAGAAATGAATGAGAATAATCTTTAAAAATACATACTAATGTCAAAACATTCTGACATCTCTTATAAATCTCAATCTATTAATTAAACGCCCCCCAAATCTAACTTCTGCCTTTAAAATAGCATTTAAAAAAATATCTCTCACCTGCTTAACATCTCGAACAAGATGAAATAGCATTGGATTAGTTGGACCTTGTTTCTTTAAGGAGAAAGAAATGGGGCAAACCATTAACAAAATAATGCAATTCTCCTTTTTCTTTAATAGGAGTTTGATGGACCTTCTTATACAAATTATATTGCTTATGAGTTATTTGAAACAGAAAGGATATAATCATCTCATGTATTTTCATGAAATGTACTTTTTCTGTTTTTAAATGTACATTTTTCAACAAGATGAACAATTTCAGTTTCACTAAAATGACACAAAAGACTTCTAACATTCAGACTTCCAACTTCACAATTACATCTTAAAGATATTTAAGAAAAGATATTTTGTAACTTACACTGGTAATAGAGCTGTATATATTTTTCTTGTTAGAATATCTATCTATATTTGTTTTTACCTCAGAGTTGTAGTAATCTACACACTTATTTAAACATTTTTATTTATACATGCCGTATTTTTCCTATTATTACTTTACTCATTTTATTAAACGGTATTTTAAAAAGTCAATTATTTTGATAGCATTCTGTATTTTTTTAAAATATGAAAGAATGTATCTCTCCTCAACCAAGACTGAAGTAGACTAGCCAACATTGTATTTTCAACATTTTAGGCAGTGCTTGGACTCCATCTAAAAATTATTGCAATAAATTCTACATGGCATAAATCCAGTAGCTTATTTTCCATATCTTAAATTCTATTGAGATTTTCTTCCATTAAAACAAACATTTTTTTACAATAATTGATTAAAGTTAATCTTTTCTATTTTGGTTAATTCTACTTGGTTATCTGTTCTCAAATCTAATGAAAGGTTCAATTCCTTTTCAATGATTTAAAAGCTGCTATGTAACAGGTGAAGGTGACTGTAACGAAGAATTTGTCATGAGTAAGGGTTGGTTCATTTATTTCAAACTGAGGGCAAATGTACACAACATTAAAGGAAGGGTAGGTAGTAATTGTCCACATACTGAACTTCAGTAATCCAGGGACTTACTACTATACGATAACTAAAATTGGTGATGTATGCAAAAGACATTTTACCTTACTTTCCTTAAAAACATTATTATTAGTATAACCACTCAGGAACTGGGTTTTCTGCCTGCTCTTTCCCATAGATTTTTAAAAATAAATGCAACAGGAGGTTTCAAAAAATGTGTGGAAAATTCCATTAACTCATGAGGGACTTGGGAGCAGGGAGGGAGGGGAAAAATGAGCAACTGATGCCGGGGGCTTAGGTGGATAGCAAATGTTTTGAGAATAATGAGGGCAATGAATGTACAAATGTGCTTTTCACAACTGATGTATGTATGGATTGTGATAAGAGTTGTATGAACCCCTAATAAAATGATTAAAAAAAATATATACATATACACACACACACACATACATACACACACCAGAAGGCCTTCTGCAGCAACAGCCCTGCAGTATGGACTCAGTGGTTCTGCAGCTTGAACTGGGAAAGGCTGCATATGTAGCAAAGTTATTCCATTTCCTATTTGCATTGCTATTTTTTTTAAATTTAATACATCATCATTATGAATACAAAAAACCCACCATTCCATTATCTTTTAATTCCATTTTGCTAGGAGCTTTTTGAAGACCCTCTTACAAGTTACTATGAAGTAATCAGAATTTTTTAATAGTAGGAATCATTTTGGTGTATTTTCTCTAGCTGTAAGAAGCCATGGGGTTTGTAGAAAAATCACCATCTTTCCATTTCATTTTCCCAAAGTCTTTGGAGCCTCCTCATACATGATCACATAGATTACAATCATTATTTTTTTGTGTTCTACTTTGTCTGTATCCATTAATTATAACTTCCTGATATGAAACAAATATATCACAGGATAATTCTCAAATTCCTTTCAGGAGGCCAATAAAATCAAAACTATTTTCATAATATTAACATGTCATTTGTATTTTCCACTCTCTCTCACAAGTACTGAATGGTGGTTTTGGAAAGTTTAATGCTGTTGATTCAGCATTACTTATAAGAATCCAGTTGTCTTTTCTGAAGCCAGACATTAAGTATAATCTAATTCTTCTTACTAAATTCTTTGTGTTTTCTTTGAAAATATTATTTTTTATGTTAACTGCTAAAGGATTTATTTAGGTTTTATGTAAACTGGTAAATCCTTCAAAATTTCTTAATTTTACTTTCTAAAATGGTAAACATCGATTTAGAAACAAAGTGGTTTGGTGTTTTTAATGATTTTTATATGAAGGGACTCTGACAACAGACAGTTAAGAGATGACTGCTTTATCTCATTATAAGTCCTTACTAATAAACAAAAACCGTAATGCTAAACGAATGCTATGAATAACTACTGTTTCAGTAATTTTAAATTCTGCACTTAAAAATGTTACTTGCCTTACTCATGTGAACAATTTTTATTTCTATTACTTTATATCAGATTTAGATTTCAGGGATAATCCTTTTCATATTTAGATTTGTTTGCCAGAGACAGGATGTCACCATAGTTCCAACTTATCTGTGCTAGGTACTACTAAAGGGGAGAATATGTAAAATCTCTGCACAAAACCTGCAACCCACAAGGTAAGTAAGACATAAATAATATAACTTAGCCATAAGACTGGACCGTATGGAGATAGCAGCCCAGCATTTGAGCTATGTTCCAAACAATGAATATAATTTCAATTAAGTGTGAAATAGTTGGGGGGAAGGGAAGGGAGGGTGTGTAATGCCAGCACTATGGACATATAAAACAAATAAAAGCTTATGTTTTTAGGAAACAGCATTAAGATCATTATAGTTTAAATATTGTATACAGAAGAGGATAAAAAGGCCCAGTGAAAGAGGAGGTTGGGGCAAAATGTGGCTAAGGGTTGAAAAACCAGGCCAGGTTTGGATACTATTACACAGACAACAGAAAGGCAACAGAAGTTTTTAACTGGGAAAAGATGATGTAAAATATGTGATTCAAAAAATTAGTATAAAAAACTGAGTTGCAAGATGCACAGACAAGGAGATGAGATATATCACTGTGGCAGACGATCTGAGGAATGGCTAGTGGGGTACAGAAGCACGAAGAATGAGAAGGAGACAAATAGGTAGAAACTGATGCACGAGTGGACACAGCTTATATAGAAGTCAGAGTTGAAAAGCTAGAAGTTGGTCAGAGTGATCGTCGAAGTGCAGCTCAATACAATTAATACTGCTAATACAGAAAAATCCATGAGAAAGGTACAGCGAACACACTGCAATGAGAGTAGCAAAATACAACTTGAAATGAAATGAGAATGGTAATAATAAGTTTTCATGACCCCTTAAGATAAATGAAATAATGAAATGTAAACTAAACTCTTGGTCAAAACCAAAATTATAACCAAATAATAATAATAACAACATGAAATCACTTCCCTAGACAAAAAAGTCTAAAGAAATGTTAACAACCTTAGAATTAAGATACTGATATTACGGATTGCAAAGGGTGGTAAAGTAAGAGGAAGAAAAGAACAATTATAGACTTAGAAGTTTTTTGTCAAGTGAAAGACAACTTCATCTGTTTCCTGTAAGATTATGGTGGAAAGAAGAGTTTCAGAAAAGAAAAGGCAGCCATACAACTAATCGATAATAAGAAAGGATGTAAGTGACCTGCTAGCAAACAATTAAAGGTCTTATACATAGAGTTGACTATATTCAGATAAACTAGTACTTTCCCCAAACAACAAAATTTTGTCAACAAAGAAATTTAGCATAGACTTACAGTGTTGTAAAGTTCTTCCAGTCTAGGAATGGTAAGGAATTTATGCATGCTTACTCCATTTTCAATAAGTAGTTTTACAAATGCAACTCTATCCATCACAAGAGCATCTAGCATAGCTTGTTCCAAGGAGCCAACCTAAAACAGTAGCAAGATTAATAAATACATTCTAAAATTTTAATTACACAAACATTCTAAACACCAATCCTGGAGAATGTAAACCTATTTGCTCCCAGTGTTAGGGGAAAAAAATATGCAAATGAATAAAGACAGAACTTTAGCACATCAGAATGAATGAAAAAGCCTCTCTGGGAAGCATTCCACACACACCTTTTTCTATAGAATAAGTGTGGTATGGAGACATTAAAAACAAAAGGTCTATCATCACGCAAATTTTGGGAAAAAAATACCTGAAATCAATGGGTTACAAAGGATTTAAAAAGCTGTTTTGGAGAAATTGTTTCAATAATAGGGAAAGCTAACTGGTTAATCAGGAGGACACAAACACAAAGTCACAGTTTTGCTTTAAAATTAATTTTTAAAAACATTTTAAAAAATTAATTTTCAAAAGACACAACCAACCACAAAAGCTGCATAAGTTATAATTTGTTTCTTTGGAACTTTACCAGAAATTGTTCAACATTAGAAAAATTCCCATCTCTGATAACATCTTTATCAGTTAGCATTAGGAACTATCCCTTGCAAAATTCTAGAAATTGATTTAGTCCTTCAACAGATTTCAAATCAAATACTGTTAAATTAATGAAGACATATGAAATGTATAGTTATCACTGTGTATCATTAATAAAGGTGGTTTAATGCTATATTTCACATTGTTGCTTCTATATATTTTTAATTTGGCGTACCACATGCTACAAAATCCGTGATGAAATTAAACATTTGATTTTTGAGCCTGCTAAAGTTTTCTTATTCTAATTTTGTCTACGTATACCCCCTGTCATCTAACAAAGAATATAAGCTCCAAGATTAATTTACATATAAATAGAGCTTAAATATATAGATTTCAAGATAAGAGGTATGTTTTCTTTGATATTTTTGGCTACTCTGTTGTTTCAACACACAATATTTTGACATTATACTTATTCTAACATTAAGAGCTTTGATTCCAGTGTCACTCACGTCTTTCTGCTCCCCAGGGATTTACATTACCAACATATCTGTATTAGTTCATAATCAACTAGCATTTACACTAATTCTGTACCTAAGTGTAAGCATGTGACTGCTCATTATGTGTGTTCCCATGCTAGGAAATTTCCATATTTAGCAAATCTGTTCTTTTGTAAAAAGCTATAAATCAGTTTCAGAAACCATGACTTTTTACTGGAGTCGAAAGCCTCACTTTTCTTCCAAGGAGCAGCTGGTGATTTTGAACCCCTGGACTTGCAGTTAGCAGCCCAAAGAGTAACCCATATGCTTACAGGGCTACAACACCCAAATATATGTTGCAAATTCTCACCTAGTTTTTTTTTTAATTAGCTTTACTGAGCTATAATTAACATATCATACAATTCAATAGTTTAATCAATCACATAAGAAGCGTTGTACAAAATCATCACTCCAACTAACTTTGGAACATTTTCTTCCCTTTTATACCCATTGGGGTTGATTTCCTACCCCACCCCAGACACTCCTTTTCTGTGCCCCTATGGAATTATTAAACCAGTTACTATCTTCATAAACCCACCCATCCTGGCTTACCTCGACAGAAAAACATATAAACCAAAGATTACACAACAAAGGATCCAGTAACAATGATCATATAAAACAGAGAAAGGCCTTAATCTAAGAAAATGCAAAGGATATAAAAATTTTAGAACAAACTGAAAATGAGTCACAGGGAAATCTATAGTGTTACAATCCAGTCTAAGTACAGCTGTTAAAACCCACTTTATAATGCTCTTTGTCTAACATGAGGGCCGTTCACATTCCTAGTCTATGGATAGTAGAGAAGCACTGGAGACTAAAATCAACAGGAGGCTGGTTATATTAAATGCTCATCCATCATTTTAGAGCTTTTTAAGTTACACGATGTGTGTAGTGGTTACTCGTTGGGCTGCAATCCAAATAGCCAGCAGTTCGAAACCATGAACATTTCTGCGGGAGAAAGACTGGGTTTTATACTCCCACAAACAGTTACAGTCTCGGAAGCCCACCAGGAGCTACTACATGTCAGTAATGGCTCAATGGCAGTGAGTTCGAGTTGTGCTCAGGTACGTAAGTGTCTGAGTTATCTAGAACTGCCATAACAAAACATTTTTTCTCTCAATTCAGGAAACAAAGACGTTGGAAGTCAGGGTACTTGCCTGAGGGAAAGCGCTTCCCCTCACAGTTGGCTCTGAGGGAAGGTACTTTTCATCTGCTCCTGGGTGATCTTCATGGGGCTTGGAATCTCTTTTTGTCTCTCTCTGATGCCTAGCTTGTTTGTTTAATCTGTTTTATATTTCAAAAGAGATTGACTGAAGATAGGCCTTACACTAATTTTGCCTCATTAATATAGTAAGACAACCCTTTCCCAACTGGGATTATAACCATAGGCATAAAGGTTAGGATTTGCCACACGTGTATTTGGGCCAGGGTTGGGGGTGCTGGCATAGTGCGTTATGCTTTGGGCTGCTCGCTGCAAGCTCAGCAGTCTGAAACCACCAGTCACACTGCCCGGAGAAAGGCCAGGCTTTCTAAACAGTCTCAGAACTCACAGAGCAGTTCCACCATCCTATTAGGGTCGCTATGCATAGAAATCAAGTTGGTGCCAGTGAGTTCGGTTTGACTGATTCAGATATGAAAAAAAAAAAATTACTGAGAGCTTACTATGTGCCAGGTTGTGAATACAGTAGCAAAACTACCTGACAAATAGTGCTTCCCACAAAATAAATAGCTGGAAAAAGATGACTTACCAGATAGTGATAAATGCTAGCGAGAAACAAGTGGCAGCAATGAACACAGGAAATGTTAGCAGAGGGGCTACAGCAGAAAATTTTTAAAAGGTGGACTAGGAGAGCTTAACTGAGGCAAGGGCACGTGCACACAAACTAGAAAGAGATAATGAAGTGAGTCCAGGAGGTTATCCAGGGAGAGCGTGTTCCTGGCAGAGAGAAGCCTTGAGGCAGAAGCAACCTTAGTATGTTCAAAGAACAAAAAAGCCAATGTAGATCAAAGATAGCAAAGGAGATAGAAGCAGTAGGTAAGTCAGAGAGACTCTAATACTGGGCAGATAACTTATAGCCTTATAGGCCTTCATAAGGGCTCTGGATTATGCTCCAGGTAAATGGGATGTGATTTACCTTCTGTCAGTAAAAGTAAAGGAAGAATGAGGGCAAAAAGGGTTGTTGCTGAAACAACACAGAAGAGAAATGATGACAGACTGGACTAGGATGCCCAAACTAAGTTAGAGAATACATCTGATTAGATTTACGTAAGGAATGTCACTAGAAGATATGAGAGAGAAGTAAAAGATGAAACTACGGTTTCTCATGCAAGACAATGGAAAAGAGGTTGTTGCCATTTACTAAGATGGTAGAGGTGTAGATGAAACTGGGACTAAACATGCAAGAGAATGTGATCATGAGTTCTCTTACATAGAGAACACTACATCCAAGGCTTCTTTCACTTACAGTTTTCAAAGTTGTTCTGGCAATGCAAGCAGTAAAGCACTCAACCATGAGCCAAAAGATTGGCAGTTTAAATTCATTCAGAGGGGCCTAGGAAGACGAGTGTGACAATCTGCTTCTCAAAGGTCACAGCCTTGAAAACTATACATTGGGTCTCCATAAATCAGAATTACCTTGATAGCAACTAACAGCAACATAGCTTCATGGAGGACATGGTCACTGGCAGAACTCTGATTGTCGTGCAGGAGAGAACCCATCCAGGAATTGGGTTCAATTCCTGGCCAGTGCATCTCCTGCACAGCCACTACCTATCTGTGAGTGAAGGCATGCATGTCGCTCAGATGCTGAAATGGCTCCAAACAGAGTATCCAGATTAAGAATGATTAAGAGCTGGCCATCTACTTCTAACAACCAACCAATGAAAACCTTAAGGATCACAACTGTCCAATCTATAACCAATTGTGAGGGTGGCAAGAAACTGGGCAGCGATTCATTTCGTTGTGCATGGGCTGCCATGAGTTGGGGTGGGGGTGGGGGGATGTCAACTCTACGAGAGTAAACAAATATATACCTTATAAATAAGCCTTTGTCAAAAGGAAAATACTTAACACTCTTTTATGGACCTGAAAGCGGTAGAAATGTTTCACTAACGAAATCAATTCTGGACTTTTGAAACAGAGGTATAATGTCAAGTTAAGTCACAGTCATAACAAAACTCAATTTAACTACATTTAATTGTATATATCGATGATGTACTTACCAGCCACTGCTGTCCATAAATGAATACATGATTTTTGGCAATGTCAACTCTATCCCATGCCAGTGTAAGGATAAGTTGGTCAAATGCTGATGCATTCGTACCTAATCAAAGAAAGTAATTGGAAAATTCAACATCTCCATTAAAATATGAACAGTTTTAAATCCCTTCCCTTTCCCTTTAACTAATTTATACAACTAATTTCAGAAGTAGCTTGCCTCAGAGATAAAGTTACCTAGAGTTTAAGATTTTTATTTTCCAATTATGAAAATAACATGGGCTGCAAGTAAACCATTCAGACTGCAAAAAATGAGAATGAAACAAAAATCACCTGTTTCTGTAGCAGAGAAACTATTGGCTCTTTAAATTTTGAAAAATATCCATCCAGATACTATTCTATGTTTATAAAAGCTCATACTTTTCATTCAAAATTAGTACTGTACTATACAAAGTGTTTGGTAGCCTACTGTGAACACATTATAGCTTAGATTAGATGTAATCTTAAATAGGTTCATGCCTCATAATGGTGAGTTACAACATGTTCAACAAATCCTTTAAAAGGAGCACACTAACGAATAACTCACTGCTACCAAGTAAATTCCAACTCACAGCGATCCACTGGAAAGAGTAGAACTACCCAGGTGGGCTTTCAAGGGTTAAACCTTAACCAGAGCAGAACACCTGTCTTTCTCCCACAGGTTGGCTGGTGGGTTCAAACTGCCAACTTTGCAGTTGGTAGTCGAGCGCATGACCCACTATGCCACCAGGGTGACTAACAAATCCTCTAGTTAGGGAATACTCACATTATTTTGAATGTTTTTTTTTTGTTGAGTGCATTTTTGTACACTTACATAATCAGATGCGTGTAAAAATATTTTCTAGAAGCAAAATTGATGGGCAAAAAGACGCACACTTTAAGGCTTCTGATCTATTGCCAAAAGATATTTCAGAAAGCTTATGCCAGCCTAAGTGTAAAAATGCGATTTCTCCATACACCACTGAGGAGAAATGTTCCCCCCATTGCTGTTTTAATTTACTTTTATTTCTAAATTGTTACCATCTTTCTGCACTTGTCGCTATATATAAATACCAACTTATTCTTCCATAAGGCATTCATCTCTTTATTAACTTATAGTTACTCTTTGGGTTATTTCTGCTTATTGTCTTAAAAAATGGGTAAAATAATATAAAATACAGCTCTTGATCTATTGACAATATACGTAGGTCTAAAATTGGGGAAATCCTTGTGAATCACATTACACTTCTGACTAGCGCAGCTCCTGACTGTTTCACCTCATGCTTTAACTCACAGGTATCTGAATGGAATACTTCCCTAAGGTTAAAAAGCTTTTTTCTAGTATTGTTACATCAGTTGCATGTCTTCAGTAAAATGGGAGGGAAAGAGTCCAATGCCTGCTTGTGCATCACATCTCTTAGTCCTAGAAGACACGAATCATTTATTTTTTACACTTTTCCTTCAGAATGAAAACAGCCTGTTGAAGAATATTATCCTTAATTTCTATCAATAAATACCTAAACAGCATTAAACACAAGGGTTTGGCTGATTCCGTATGGAACACATTCTTAATAGGAAAACTAGATGAGCATAATGGCATAAACTCTAGTAACTTTTTAAAAAATGCCTTCTATAAGTAAAAAAAAATCTTACTGCCAAAGAAAATTATTCCTCTTGTCCCTCACAAACAGTAGTGAAAATTTTACTTCAAACATTTAGTTAAATTGAAATGCCCTTTCCTATATAAACAAATTATAAATTAAAGAATTTACTAATATTATCTTACCTTTTAGCAATGCAGTAAGTATTGCTATATCTATATCCTGCTGTTCATCTGATCCAAGGTGGAAAACAGTGATCTATTTTAGAGATTAATTTATAATATTATGTCTTTATATTTTTTAAGCTGAGGTTTCATAAAACAGGAAATCATTTTCAACAACATGGGAGATTTTTAATTTTTTAAAATTTTGGTCAAAATAGCATTTTAAAACTAAACAAGTTAAAAGATGTGGTATTATTTACTAAATAAAATAGATTAATTTTTTTTTAACATTTTATTAGGGGCTCATACAACTCTTATCACAATCCATACACACATCAATTGTGTAAAGCACATTTGTACATTCATTGCCCTCATCATTCTCAAAACATTTTCTCTCCACTTAAACCCCCGACATTAGGTCCTCATTTTTCCCCTCCCTCCCTGCTCCCCCCTCCTGGTTTTATATATATATACACTATATATACATAACTCGAGTTTTTCAGCACATTTTTATTGCAGTTTTATTTTATTTATCATTTTATTGGGGGCTTGTTCAACTCTTATCACAATCCATACATCCATCCATTGTGTCAAGCACATTTGTACATTTGTTGCCATCATCATTCTCAAAACATTTGCTTTCTACTTGAGCCCTTGGTATCAGCTACTCATTTTTCCCCCTACCTCCCTGCTCCCCTCTCCCTCATGAACCCTTGATAATTTATAAATTATTATTTTGTCATATCTTACACTGTCCGACGTCTTCCTTCACCCACTTTTCTGTTGTCCATCCCCCAGGGAGGAGGTTATATGTAGATCCTTATAATCGGTTCCCCCTTCCCAACCCACCCTCTCTCTACCCTCCCAGTATTGCCACTCTCAGCACTGGTCCTGAAGGGATATCTGTCCTGGATTCCCTGTGTTTCCAGTTCCTATCGGTACCAGTGTACATCCTTTGGTCTAGTCAGATTTGCAAGGTAGAACTGGGAATCATAATAGTGAAGGGGAGGAAGCATTTAGGAACTAGAGGAAAGTTGTATGTTTCATTATTGCTGCACTGCAATCTGACTGGCTCTTCTCCCCGCGACCATTCTATAAGGTGATGCTGGTTGTGTACATATTAGTCTTGGGTCCCCAATATGCACTCCTCCTCATTCACAATAATATGATTTTTTGTTCTTTGATGCCTGATACCTGATCCCTTCGACACCTCCTGATCACATAGGCTGGTGTGCTTCTTCCATGTGGGCTTTGTTGCTTCTGAGCTAGATGGCCGCTTGTTTACCTTAGAGCCTCTAAGACCCCAGATGCTATATCTTTTGATAGCCGGGCACCATCAGCTTTCTTATGCACCCAGCTGTCTTTAGCAATCGTATTGGGAAGATGAGTATACAATGATATGATTTTTTTGTTCTCTGATGCCTGATAACTGATCCATTCAGCACCTCGTGATCACACAGGTTGGTTCAGCATGTTTTTAAATGCATCTTTTGTGGTAAAATTAGGTGCCTCGGATGATATTTGGGTCAGCTTACACTCGAGCATATACAGTATATACCCTTTTTACCTATATTACGTTTCTTACTACAGTACTTATGCCTGCGGTTATGTTCCTCATCAAAGAAAATACCATAGTTTCTTTAATGTGAACACTTATTTACTCTAGTATTAAATATTCTTGATTTAGAATTGTCAGTTTTGTTCAACTGTTTCACTGAAAATTTCATTACATTATTGACATATCAAGGTAATATTAGGGTATTTATAGAGTAAAGGGTTATCTTAACTCCAATATGAATTTTTGAACTTACTTCATTACAAAGTATTCTAAAAGAAGACTGAAAAATCAGATCAATCCATCTACTCTGCAGTTGTTTAAAATTTTTCTCATTGAACACTTAAGAATCTGTTTAGATTACTGAAAATAACCTTTATAGGTCTGAACACTCATTCAGAGTAAAACTGTAAATTTTTCCTCAAAATATTTTATTGGAATCAGTTAACAAATCTTTAGCATTCTTCTTTGATCATGGACTTCTGTTCAGGTCGAATTAAATTTCCTGAAACAGAATTATAGCTATACTGCCAATACCATATAAAAACCACAATCCTGCTCCCGAGCGTCTTTACTTAGTTAGGAAAACTTAAAAGCAAAAGTGTTTCACCAATTTAGAGTGTGCTTTAAATGAAAGAAAACAACTTATCCTGCTGAAATCTACTTACAAGTTCCTTTTTTTTCATGCACTCCATCAGTGTTTGAAATAAATGAAATGCTTCACTCTGGCCAAAATTAAACGTTTTTTTGATTGTTGAAATAATATCAGATTCTGCTTCATCAGGAAGATTACTGGGGTAGGAGGAAACAAAATTCACATCTAATATGAAGTACAAGTAGAGATTTATGCAAAACCTTTAAAGATACTGTACTAACATTAACTACTTGACAGCGAGTAAAATGTTTTCTCCTCTAAGATTTGTACTATAACGAGGGTGGGAAGGGGGGTTTTTCTCTTCAACTTATTTTATGAAAATTTTTACAAAGCTTGTATTTCCCTATCAGTATTGTCACATTTTATGAGCTATTGTATATAAAAAGAATTCTAATATATTAAGGCATATAAACCAGTTCTTTAGCTAGATGTTTTAATTTCCTGAATGAGTAATATACTTTAATTTCCTGAATGAGTAATATATTTACATGGTTCAAATATATAATATAAAACTATAAATAAGATATAGAATGTGGCAACACTAACTGCACTGATGAAAGGATTTAGGTTTTTATTAGTAATATCTTTAACTTAAAAGAGCCTTACCAAAGAAAGCAAGACAAACTAAGAAAAAGAGCCTACAGTTTATATCACCATATCCATCTAGTTATTTCAACTAGAAATGTATTGCGTGTATTACAATCTTAAATGACTGTAAAATTGAGTGTGTAACTTTCCAGAGCTTCTCTACAGGTATACCTTGTTTCATTGTGCTTCACAGAAACTGGAAAGAAGTTCTATTAATCAAGCCTATTGGACCTATTTTGCCAACAGCACATGCCTACTACTTCATGTCTCTGTCACAATTTAATAAAATTTCAAACTTTTACATAACTAAAACTAATTATGTCTACAGTAAATATAACTTTTACAGGTACTCGGAAACAAAAGATTCCTGTGGCTCATTTTATTGCAATAATCACTTTATTGTGGTGATCTGAAACCAAACCTGTATTATCTCCAAAGTGCCTATATACGCACTTATAAAAATACAAATATGTCTCCTCTCCTATTTCCATACAGAAAAGGCAGCACAATAAACATATAATGCATATATCTTCTTTTTCTTTACACATATTTTGGCCAACTTTCCAGATGTAATACACATGTACAATCCTTACTCTTTCATTTAACCACAAACTTAATTGTGAAAATGGAGTTGTCATCAGTATCATTATTTGTCTAGACTCCTTCTGATGAATTTTTAATTTCATTTTAATCATTCATTATCACAAATAACACTATGAAGAGTACTTTTATACATGTCATTTCATATTTGTATAAGATCAAGTCTCAGAAGTGAAACAAATAGAAAACCAACTCGCTGCTCTGGAGTTGATTCCAACTGACAGCAACCATATCTACGGGGTTTCTGAGATTGAATCTTTTTTTTTTTTTTTAATCATTTTATTAGGGGCTCATACGACTCTTATCACAATCCATACATACATCGATTGTGTAAAGCACATTTGTACATTCATTGCCCTCGTCATCTGAGACTTAATCTTTATAGGCGCAGCCAGCCTCATCTCTATCCTGCAGAGCAGTTGTGGAGTTTGAACCGCCAACCATGTAGTTAGCAGCACAACAGAGCCCACAGTGATAGCAGGGCTCCTTAGAAATGAAACCATTGGTTCAAAAATTATATGTCTCTGTAACTGGGAAGATCTTTAAAATTGTTCACTATGAATACTGCTATACTTTAATTCCTTCCAATAATGTAAAAGACAGGCTATTTCCTTAATCCTTATCAGAGTACCCTATTAAACTTGAAAACATCATACTCATTAAACACTTAAAGGAATCCAACACTTTAAAAACACAAGCCTTTTTAAATAAAGCTATGCAAAAATTTTATAAAAACATAGAAATCACAGATGGCAAACCAAGTCACATACTCATACACTTACCCTCCTTCTTCAGTTTGTTTATAAACATACGCCAGTAGGTCAGCAGCTCTGCCTGTTCCTTCACATACAACAAGTGGAACTGGGGGGCTTTCCTGAAGGTATTCTAAAACTGTGAGGATAACGTTGGGTCCACCCTCAAATATGAGTGCTACCACAGGAACACCTTGGCCAATTCCTAAAAAATGTGAAGTTGAAGTTTTAAAAATAACAAAATCTAAAGATTTAATCTCATTATTTACTCAAAGAAAAGCAAAATACAATTTCCTAAGAATATGTGATGACTTCACTTAAAACAAATGCCCTTTGCCTCCCAGCTCTTTCCTCTCTGTCCCTTGACTTTCCTCCTGTCCCACTATCATGCTCAGTCCCCACCAGGGTATCAGCACTTCCTCTTGGTTACATTAACCTTGATCATGCCCCACCAGGCCTCCCACACCCTCCTCACCACCAACCTGGATCACTTATTGTTCCCTTGTCCCTGGGTCTGTTAACACCACTTCCCTTCCCCCCACTTCCCCCTGTCCCATGTCCCCCCCGAAATGTCGGTCCCGCTGTCTTCTCCTCCAGATTGTTCATCCAGCCCAACTTATTTAGACAGACCTGAGTTGCAGTTTTATAAATGAGGACTTCTATTTCACTTTGTCCTGGTGTCTACCATCTTGGTGCTCTGTGGTTATAAAATGTCTTTCTAATAAAAATTAAAATCTAGATATTTAACCACAAAGTTCAACCATGACTTGAAAGGAAAACCACTCTCAAGAATATCCAGGCTCAAGAATATCAACTTTCAAGACACATCTACCAAAAAGTTATACCTACTCTATAACTTTAACCAATTAATTCTCACATTTGTAAAACGTGGTTTTCTTTCATTCTCTGTTTTTCGATCTTGAATTTAGTCCTGTACTGAAACCTGGTTTAGCAGACTATTTGGTGTCAGCCTTCTTTTACTAGACCTTATTGTGTTCAGTCAGCCATGCTTTTATCATTTCAGATGTTATTTTGCTACAAATGGAAAAGAACACTTCAAAGCATATTCAACCGCCTATTAAAACTACAGTCCAGAATAATTTCAATAATTAACAATTCATGAAATCTTACTAGCATGAATTCTTTGCTGGTTAATAGTTTTTTCAAGTTCTCTTCTCAACTTGACTTCTGCCCCATACTTTCCAACAGTGCCATCATCCACCAGTATGAAATGGGAATGGAGATTATTCAGAACATTCAATTTGCTCAAGGGGTTCAATAAAGTTTGATAAGGAGCAACCACCTAAAAACAATAGCAAATACAAGAGTTAGTGGATAGGATTAAGTATAATTTATATTACAACAAACTTTTAAAATAATACGTGAAGACAAGAGGCAAAATTCTACTTAAATATGCAAACAAAAAATACTAAAGGATATATAAAACAGCACAAAACATGTAACAATATAGAATATATAAAGCAGCTGAAGATTAATCAATGATAAACTAAAATTTGGCCATCATTGAAAATTATGTTTCATCATTATATGCAAAAGAAGAAACAAATCAGTAATTCCTTTTTGACAATCTCAATAAATATTTATAACCAACTAACATGTTTTTAACCCATTAAATAAAATACCTGCATGTGAATCTTACTCTTAGTGACAATAAAGTCAATTCCCATGTCATGTAGTCTTTACAAATTTAATTGCAAAGGCTGACATGATGTTGAAAAGATGTGTTATAATGTTATCAATTATTAATAAGTATGAATGTATTTGTGGAAGGGCCAGAAGAATATTTCCGGGAAAAATACTTTTTTTTACCTTAATCTGAAGTACGGTAAGCTCAACTTTAAGTTGATTTGCACTATTCTTGCTATAAATTCAAGTATTAGAAATTTTAAAAAATCATTCTTACATCTCTCCCAACAAGATCATTTCTATTTTCAATCACTCCCCATGGAGCTATTCCGATAGTGCAAATCTTTCGAGATGATCGGGAAGCATGTTCTCTGAGGGCATCACCAACATGTTTTGCCACACCTGTACATACAAAATTTTGTTCATTTTACTTGAGAGTCTTTATTTTGCTCAGAACAATCCTGGGCTCCATCAGTAACATCACATTTTGTGATACTTCTTTAAACATACAATATAAATGACAAAAAGGTCTAAAAGCCAAACTTACAAGAGAATACACAGGAGGATCAAACAACAAACAAACAAAAAATAAACACCAATCCCTACAATGCTTAATCACTGAGTACCTAAAACACATGTAAAACTATCTTTTGTTGTAAGATCTACAACTTTCTCATATTTCTCCTCTACAAAAATTCAGTATTTTGTTACTGCTTTATACATCATCTTAAAAGAATGTATGAGAATAACTTGGTGGACCAAGCCCTTAAGCAAAGCACACAACCAACAGCTACAAAAGTTGTCCAACTGACTAAAACATGAAGAATAGAAAAGATAAGCCAAAAAGAGCTTATAACTCCTCATTACCACTAACCTTGATTTCTACTCTCATGAGATTTAAAACGGCAAGTGGATTATAAAGCGAGCCCAATTACCTTGTCCACGTAAAATCTACTTTTAATACACTACCCAAGTATCTGTCTTCTGGTTATCATTCTGCTTAACATCTTCCCTTGACCCAAAGCAACTGGACATCCCCTTACGGAAGGGTCTCGGGGAGGAGACAAGACAGTCAGGGTGCAGTGTAGCATAGATGAAATATAAGACTTTCCTCTAGTTCCTAAATGCTTCCTCCCCCCCACCCCCACTATCATGATCCCGATTCTACATTACAAATCTAGCTAGACCAGAGGGTGTACATGGGTACAGATAGGAACTGGAAACACAGGGAATCCAGGGCAAATGATCCCTTTAGGACCAGTGGTGAGAGTGG